CCCAACACCCTTTATTTGGTGCTCCCTTCTCTATCTGAGCTGCCTTTTCCCCTAGAGTGTGTGTCCAGCCCTTTGTTTTATTTTTTTTTAGGTCACATCTAACAATGCCTAGGGGTCACACCTGGTTCTGTGCTCAGGAAATACTCCTGGCGGTGCTCGAGGGACCGTGTGGGATGCTGGGGATCTAATACGGTTGTCCTATGGTTCCAGCATCGGAGATAAGCTATTTTTTTGTCACTATGTTGCCATAATAATATAATAAAATAAGCTATTTTTTGTCACTATGTTGCTATAATAAAATGCCTATTGTTCTAAAAAGGAATAAAAAGAAAGTTACTTTTTGGTTTGTTTGGGGGCCTCACTCGGGTGCACTCAGGATTTACTCCTGGATCTGCACTCGGGGGGTCACTCCTGATGGGGCTCCGGGGACCATATGGGGTGTCAGGATTCGATCCTGGGTTAGCTGCGTGCAAGGCAAGTGCCTTCCTTGCTATGCTGTGCCCTGAGTTGCAAGTCAGCTGGCAATGACGTTACTTGAACTCAGGGGAACTTGTTTTTTTTTTGGGGGGGTCACACCAGGCGATGCTCAGGGGTTACTCCTGGCTCTGTACTCAGGAATTACTCCTGGCGGTGCTTGGGGGACCCTATGGGATGCTGGGAATCGAACCCGAGTTGGCCGCATGCAAGGCAAACGCCCTACCCACTGTGCTATCACTCTGGCCCCAAACTCAGGGGGACTTGAACTCTGCCCGCATCTCCTGATTGTCACCGCCCCCCAGTCAGTACCTCCCTTTCTCTGATTCCAGGGTGCCCCTCAGTCTCCAGTGTGCAGTGTCTACATCTGGAACAGGACATGCCCCTCCTTACACCCTGGGGTTCTCAGTGCTGACTCCTGGCTCTGTGCTCAGGGATCAGTCCTGGATTGCTCAGGGGACCTGATGGGGTGCGGGGGATCGAACCCAGGATGGCTGTGTGCCAGGCCAGCACCCTCCTCGCTGGACTATCTGGCCCCAAGCACATGTCCTTTTAGCACTGACTTTTTTTCCCCAGCTCAGCACGATTCTCTGAAGTCATCAGGATTTAAAGCCTCCCGTCCAGCGGGGAGGGTGCTTGCTTTGCATACAGCCGACCTGGGTTTGACCTACATCACCCCATAGGGTCCCCTGAGCACTGCCCGGAGTAATTCCTGAGTGCAGAGCCAGGAGGAACTCCTAAGCATCGCTGGATATGGCTCCCCCAAACCAAAATAAAATAAAATAAAAACATCCCCATGGGGCTGGAGCAATAGCACAGCGGGTAGGGCGTTTGCCTTGCACGCAGCTGACCCGGGTTCGATTCCCAGCATCCCATATGGTCCCCCGAGCACCGCCAGGAGAGATCCCTGAGCGCATGAACCAGGAGTAACTCCAGTGCATCTCCGGGTGTGATCTAAAAAAGCAAAAAAAAAAAAAAAAAAACCATCCCCTGGTGGCTGTCTGACGAGATGGTTCAAAGGGTTGGAACAGGGGCTGGAGTGATAGATAGTACAGTGGGTAGGGCCTTGCACGTGGCTGACCCGGGTTCAATTCCTAGCATCCCATATGGTCCCCTGAGCACCGCCAGGAGTAACCCCTGTGCATCGCCAGTGTGACCCAAAAAGAAAAAAAAAAAAAGAGCAGAGCCAGAAGCCAGAATGATACTGCATCATGTAGGGCATCTGCCTTGCACACATCAACCAGCTTTATCCTCAGCACCCCATATGGTCCCCAGAGCCCTCCCATGAGTGGTCCCTGAGCACAGAACCAGTCCGGTGTGGCTCCCGCAGATAACAAAAACCCAAAGGGCTGGAGAACCTGATTTGCAGCTGGAAACACCACCACTGCTAGAATCAGTGAGCTGACCACTGTGTCAGAATTGGCCCTGAGCACTGTTAGCTGTAATTCAAAAAGGGAACAAGTTAAAAATAAAACTTTCCGGGTTGGAGTGATAGTATAGCAGGCAGGGCAATTGCCTTGTATGCTGTTCTTTGACCAGGGTTCGATCCCTGGCATCCCATATGGCTCCCTGAGCACCGTCAGGAGTGATCCCTGAGCACAGAGCCAGGAGTCAGCCCTGAGAGCGTCAGATATGGCCCCAAACCATAACAAAATAAAACTTTCCACGGAGGATGAGGAGTTTGGTTGTCTTGGTGACCACTCTCCATCTTCATTCTTTCCTCTAAACAGTATCCGGAGTGAGGATACTGTCTAGAGGAAACATGCCTCATGCCTCAGTTTCCTCATCTGGACAACAGGGAGAGGAAAGTCACTTGCTGAAGATTAGAGCAAAGGTGAGGTCCCTGGGGCTGGAGCAATAGCACAGCGGGTAGGGCGTTTGCCTTGCACTCGGTCATCCCGGGTTCGATTCCCAGCATCCCATATGGTCCCCTGAGCACCGCCAGGGGTAATTCTTGAGTGCAGAGCCAGGAGTAACCCCTGTGCATCGCCAGGTGTGACCCAAAAAAGCAAAAAAAAAAAAAAAAGGGGGAGGTCCTGCCGGCAGGATGAAAGGCAGCATGTGGTTGCCATGGCAGCAGTACCACTCCCACGGGATGCCCCGCCTTGCTTGCTTGTGACTGGAGGAGCCAGTGGGTCACATGATCCCATGGACCAATGAGGAAGTGGTCCAGAGCCTGAGTTTCAGGGAAACTTCAGGTTGGGAGGAGGAAAAAAGGCAGAAATGAATCAATCTGGGGCTGTAGCGATAGTACAGTTGGGAGAGCGTTTGCCTTGCGGCTGACCTGTGTCTGGTTTGTTGCATCCCAAATGTCCACTCAGCACCGCCAGGAGTAATTCCCGAGTGCAGAGCCAAGAGTCACCCGTGAGCATCTCCGGGTGTGGTCCAAAAGTGAAAAAAAATTTTTTTTTTTTTTTTTAGGAATGAAGCCAAGTTTCCCCTCATTCTTCTTTTTTTTTCTGGAAGCACCAGAGATGGAACCTGCCTCTCTTATATACAAGGCAAGCCTTCTCCCGGCAAGCTACACCCCCATAAGGCCAGGTTCATCTTTTTATTTCTGGAGCATTCTCTCCACACCCCCACCCTACCCCAACTCCCTCACACTTCACCTCGCTGGAGAGAAGATTCCAGAAAGTTTTGGGTGTGAGGGCGGTTGCGGGCGCTTTGCCATGGCTTGAAGTTCTCATCCCTCGAAATAAGAACTGGGCCTGGGAGGTTAGACAATTAATGTGTTCTGTGGTTGGTTATTTTTAATAAACCACCCGAGTGGGCTGGGACGTGGGTGCAGCTCGGAGCAAGTTGCTGTTCGGACGCCCACGAGCAGATGGAGAGAAATACACTAGGTAGGTCATCCCGGCATCCTGCACCCACAGTTACGCTGCCTGTTTCTCCCGCAGCCCAGAGGCAAAGGTTCCGGACAGAAACGTTGGGCTGAGCCCTCAGCCTGGTCTGGTGTATTCATTAGCTTTTTTTTTTTTTTTGCTTTATGGGTCACACCCGGCGATGCACAGGGGTTACTCCTGGCTCTGCTCTCAGGAATTACTCCTGGCGGTGCTCGGGGGACCATATGGGATGTTGGGAATCAAACCCGGGTCGGCCGCGTGCAAGGCCAACGCCTTACCCGCTGTGCTATCGCTCCAGCTCTGTATTCATTAGCTTTTGCTAGATAACAAACCAGCACCCAATGTGACTGAAACCAACAGGTGACATCTTCACAAATTGCTTTTCTCCCCACAGGGGGGCCAGACCTAACGGTACTCAGGGGTTCCTTGTGACTCTGCTCAGGAGGGACCCCCACTGGGGTCTGTTGAATGTGGGGTAAGTGCCTGAATCTTTCTTTCCCCCTCTCAATTTGGGTCACACCTGCCTGTGCTCAGGGATCCCTCCTGGAATTGCTCAGGGGACCATCTGGGATGCCGGGAATCAAATCTCACTGAACTGCTGGACTATCTGACTCTTGACTCGTCTCATTTTTTCTTTTTTTGCTTTTTGGGGTCAAACCTTGCAATGCTCAGGGGGTTGCTCTTGGCTCTGCACTCAAGAATAACTCCTGGCAGTGCTGGAGGACCATATGGGATGCTGCGGGTTGAACCCAGGTCGGCTGCGTGGCAGGCAAACACCCTACCTACTATATTATCGCTCTGGCCCTCGTTGTCTCATTTTTGGGGGCCACAGCTGACTGTGCTCAGCAAATACTCCTGGCTCTGCACTTAGGGATCACTACTGGCAGTCTCAGGGGACTATGGGATGCTGGGGATTGAACCCAGGTCGGCCGTGTGCAAGGCAAACACCCTACCCACTATATTATCGCTCTGGCCCCGTTGCCTCATTTCTTGGAAGGGGCCACAGCCAGCTGTGCTCAACTCATATTCCTGGCTCTGTACTTAGGGATCACTCCTGGCAGGCTCAGGGGATCGAACCCAGGTTGGCTGTATGCAAGGCCAGCGCCCTCCCCACTGACCTATCACTCCAGCCTTTTTCTCGTTTCTTGAACGGACCAACCTTGCCTTCTTCACCGAGAGTGGTGGGCCCGGGTACATTCCACCCACTGGCCCCGGTGGTGCCCAAAGCTCCCCATTTTAAAAAAAAAAGAACGGGGCTGGAACGATAGCATAGCGGTAGGGTGTTTGCTTTGCACATGGCCGACCCGGGTTCGAATCCCAGCATCCCATATGGTCCCCTGAGCACCGCCAGGGGTAATTTCTGAGTGCAGAGCCAGGAGTGACCCTTGTGCATCGCCGGGTGTGACAAAAAAAAAAAAAAAAGCACAGGCTCCTCTTCCTCGAACTCCCACATCTAGGTTTTCGGTCACGTGGGATTTGATCACCCCTCTTCTTTCACTCCTCAGCATCCCCCCGCCCCCCAGAGAAGCAGATGGCTGGCGACAGACACGTTTTTCCTTTAATGAGAAAAGAACAAACAAATCTGTTTGCAACAGTCATGCCGAGAAAAGGAGGGAGTGAGGACCCCACCACCCCCGTGCATCCCACAGGCACCCCTTCCTGCCCCCCCCCCCGCCATGGTCCCTGAGGATGGGGAAACAGGCTCAGAGGACAGCCCAGGTGACTTTCATCATGCAGTGGTCCACTCTGACCCTCGGTCTGTCGCTAGATGCTTTGGAGCAGGTGCAGTGCACGTACAAGGCGCCGGCGGGCGGCAGGGGTGCAGCCTCGGCTCCGCAGGACCCCCAGCGGGTAGGAGATGCCGGGCTGGCCCCCTTCCCACACGCTCAAGAGCAGGCCTTCGCCCCTGCCGCTCAGTAGGAGATGCGCCCGCTTGGCCGTGAAACTCACCTGCAGAGGCGAGGGGGCGGGGCTTAGGGCCAGAGAAGGGTCCCTGGGCCCAACCACTACCCGGGGTCCCCAAGCCAGGACAAGCAGGTCGCCTGCCTGGCTCGCTTCCACCCCGGGTTTGATTCCCGGCATCCCATCTGGAGCCCTGAGTAATTCCAGGAGGGATCCCTGAGCACAGTCAGGTGTGGTCCACAATAGGGAGAGAGAGGGAAGGAGAGAGGGGAAATACAGAGGGGGAGAGACAGAGATTCAGAAGGCTGACAACTGGGGCTGGAGTGATTACAGCGGGTAGGGCGTCTGCCTTGCTACGCAACCGACCTGGGTTCGATTCCCAGCATCCCCCATGCACCGCCAGGAGGAATCCCTGCATTATGTTGCCAGGTATGGCCCAAAAAGCAAAAAAAGAAGGCTGAGAACCTTTTTGTCTTTTTTTTTTTTAACTACAGCTAGCTGTGATCAGGGCTGACTCCTGGCAGTGTGCTCAGAAATCGCTCCTGGCAGCGTTTGGGGGACCACATAGGGTGCCAGGGATTGAACCTGGGTTGGCCATGTGCAAGGTAAGTGCCCTCCCTGCTGTACTATGGTTCCAGACCCTGAGAATGTCTCATCTGGACCTACTAGGTGAATCTCAGGCAATATTACATGGGTGGGGAAACTGAGTCTCAGGGAGGTCACCCCTTCCTGCACGATTGTGCAGGGATTCCTTCTCTTTTATTAATTTTTGGCTTTTTGAGTCACACCCGGCGCTGCTCAGGGGTTACTTCTGGCTCTGCACTCAGGAATTACTCCTGGCAGTGCTCAGGGGACCATATGGGAAGCTGCGGATCGAACCCGGGTTGGCCACGTGCAAGGCCAATGCCCTACCTGCTCTACTATCACTCCGGCCCCTCCTGTCTCTTTTAATTTGATTTTCTTTTTCCAGGCCACACCCGAGGGCGCTCAGGTGCTCAAAGAACCAGATGCAACGCAGTACTGTACTGAACGCAGGTCAGCCGCGTGCCAGACAAGCACCCTAGTCCGGTTACCATCCTTCCATCCCAGAAAAGAATTTTTCACTGGATAAACTGGCCGGTCCAACCCCCTGAGTCTGCTCGCTGCCTCTGCTATGGGTCTATTCAGGCTTGATGATCGGTTTTGCAGGTTGGTGATCAGGAATCATCTACATACCCGCAACCTTTCCCAACCCCTAACCCCCATTCCCCACTCTCGCTCCAGGAAACGGCAGATTCTGGGGCTTCCTGGAGAGCAGATCCCTCCATGTCCTGCTGACCCCCCTCACCTGCACAGTGTTGTCGCTGAAGAGCAGCAGCAGGGCGCGCGGGGATGCGAGGAAACGTAGGAGGCACAGGCTGGGGCCAGCAGTGGGTGCAGGACCAGTGGGTGCACCCCCACCCCCCTCCTGGGAACGCAGCCCCAGAGATCAGTCAGGACCTGAGATGGGTTTGGCCCCGCCCTCCCGGGATCATGACTCCGCCCCTCGAGCAACGACCCGCCCACACGATTTGTCACCGCCCATCTGATGATGACCACGCCCCACCGATTTGGTCCCGCCCCTATCCAGCTACAATCCCGTCTCGAATTGGCCCTGGTCCCGCCCCAGCCCCGCCCACCTCCCACCCTGCTCACCAATCGCCATCGTTTCCGCCGCCGCAGGTAGCCAGCAAAGAGCTGCAGGACAGCCAGCTTGGCACCCAGAGGCCCGGGCACGTCTCTGAGGGCCCAAGTGTACACACTTCCCCGGGCGGGCATGTAGCTGACTTGGCTGGGGACAGGCACCAGGGGGAAGGTCCCTTCATAGCCACCCCCTCCAATCTGTCCCCATGCCCATTATTTCTTCCCGCGGGGCTCCCTTGCTTCTCCTTAAACCCATGGTACTTGTCCCATGCATGCTGGGGTTTGCACAGGCTGTTCGGACATTCACATCTCATTGAAACCCTCTCCAGGAAGGGCAGCCCCCGCCCCCATCTGTCACCTCACTCAGTTCATCTCAGCTTTTTTTTGGGGGGGGAGGAGTGGGCGGTGGACATACCCGGTGGTGCTCCTGGCTCTGTGCTCAGAGAGTCACTTCTGACATGTTTGGGGGGTTATATGGAGTGCTGGGGGGCGCCCTCCCCTGCTGGACCATCACCCCCACCCAGTTCGTTTCCTTTAGAAAAGTGCCAATATACTGGAGCGATAGCACAACGGGGAGGGTGCTGGCTTGCACGTGGCTCACCCCTGTTCAATCCCCGGCTTCCTATAGGGTCTCCCAAGCCCAGTAGGAATAATTCCTGAGCACAGAGATACGAGTAAGCCCTGAGCAGTGCCGGGTATGGCCCCAAAATAAAAACAAAAAGAAAAGTGCGTGGAGTTCATGCCCAATTCAATCAGCTTAATCAATGGCTGAACAAATAGTAGTATTCCTACATTATTAAAAAAATAAATAAAATTTTAAAAAATTTTAAGAATTGGGGCTGGAGGGGCCGGAGTGATAGCACAGCGGGTAGGGTGTTTGCCTTGCACGCGGCCGACCCGGGTTCAATCCCTGGCATCCCATATGGTCCCCCAAGCACTGCCAGGAGTAATTTCTGAGTGCAAAGCCAGGAGTAACCCCTGAGCATTGCTGGGTGTGACCCAAAAAGAAAATAAAAAAAAATTGGGGCTGGAGTGATAGCACAGTGGGTAGGGCTTGCCTTGCACGTGGCCGACCCAGGTTCGATTACCAGTATCCCATATGGTTCCCTGAGCACTGCCAGGAGTAATCCCTGAGTGCCTGAGCCAAGAATAACCCCTGTGCATTGCTGGGTGTGACCCAAAAAGGAGAAAAAAAAAAAGTAAAAAATTTAAAATTGTTTAAAAAATAATAAAATAAGAGGTTGGAGCAATATCACAGTGGGTAGGACGTTTGCCTTGCATGCGGCTGACCCGGGTTCGATTCCCAGCATCCCATATGGTCCCCCAAGCACCTCCAGGTGTAATTCCTGTGTCCATGAACCAGGAGAAACCCCTGTGCATCGCTGGGTGTGACCCCCCAAAAAATAATAAAATAAAATCATTTTAAAAATTAAAAAAGTGAAAAAAAAATAAATTAAAAAAAAGTGCTCCCTGAAATCAATTAGTCGTTCATTTCTTTTCCCTATGCTTTCACTTTCCTCAGGCCCCAAGTGGCTGTTTGTGTGTGGGGTCAGGGGAGTCCTGGACCCACCCACCAGCGGAGGCGAACATCAAACTTACCCCTCTGGGGGCCGAACAGCCATGTGGGTGCCATCCCGAAACAGAACTCCGCTGCCCCCGTCCGACAGCTGGTAGCCAAAGCCATACTTGTGGGAGTAATCCACCCACGTGGGGGCCCACAGGATGGGCCGATGCTCTTCAGCGGGGTCCTCTGTGACTGGACAGGTTCCCACTCCTGACCGAGAGAAGAAAGCATCTGTGGGGACACAGGATGGACACCTGGGACAAGCTGGTGAACTCATTTCTCTGCCATGTCTCTGTGATTATCAGATGCTGGCTGGCTGGCTGTTGAAGGGGTTTCTGTCAGACTGGGCTCACTTTGTACCTTTGTTGTTTTTTGGTTTTGTTTTTGGGTCACACCTGAAGATGCACAAGGATTACTCCTGGCTTTGCGATCAGAAATTATTTCTGGCTGTGCTCAGGGGACCATATGGGATGCTGGGAATCAAACCCGGTTGGCCGCGTGCAAGGCAAACACCCTACTCACTGTGCTATTGCTCCAGCCCTTCCCTTGTACCTGGTTGACCCCAGTTCCATTCTTGGCACCACACAGGGTCCCCCATGCATCACCAGGGGTCCTTCCTAAGCACCTCTGGATGTGGTCCAGACACCCCGCAGATAATAACAAATCAAGAAATTAAGAAGAGGTGCTGGAGTGATAGCACAGTGGGTAGGGCGTTTGCCTTGCATGCAGCCAACCAGGGTTCGATTCCCAGCATCCCATATGGTCCCCCAAGCACCGCCAGGATTAATTTCTGAGTGCATGAGCCAGAAGTGACCCCTGTCCATTGCTGGTGGTGACACAAAAAGAAAAAAAGAAATTAAGAAGACTTGGCTGTGTCTGACCCCAGAGGCGGTCGGGGATGGGTGGGTCACAGGGGTCCCTCTGCAGCTGTGCAGGGGCACTGGAAGAAAAGACGAACAGATGCCAAACACCTGCCAGGATCTCTCCCTGCACAGGGAACCCTAGCCAGACACGGGGCTCCCTCCTCAGGGGGCCGGTGGGTGGCGTTCAGAGAGAATGACATCTTGGGTATCTGGGGGACAAGAAGCAAAAGTGAACTGGAGAGATGGGAGCCTACCTGGGGGTCCGGGGTCCAGGCAGAGCCTCAGGCTCCGGATGGCCGCCTCCACTTCCCCTCTGGAGCTCCCCCCAGGCTCTGCGGAGACAGACCTAGGTGGGGGATGCTGGGAGAGGATACAGCAGGCCCCCCACATGCCAGAGCCCCCCACAACCAGTCCTGTCCTACATTCCTACACGTGGAGAAATGACTTTTTGCTCTTAAGGATTCTTCACATGCACATGCCCCCTCATGTACCCATTTGACAGGTAGGAAAGGTAGAGGCTAAGAGAAGTGCCGGCTCTGAACCCCCTCCTAATTTTGGGTTTTGGGGGGCACACCAGGTAGTGTTCAGTGACTACTTCCAGGTCAGTGCTTGGGGCTCACTCCTGGCAGTGCTCAGGAAAACATACGGTACAGGAGATAAAAGCGAGCCCCCCCTCCCCTGCAGGCAAGCACCCCCAGAGCCCCCGCCCCACAGCCCTGCCTCCGACAAGCGTCTGCTCACCATTGGGGTCACTTCTGAGGGCCCCTTGGGAGAACCGGTGGACGGGGCACTTGGGGACAGAAGCCTCCGTTTCCATTAGGGTGGCCTGAAGGCGGAGAAGCAGAAACGGGGGGGGGGGGTGGCGGCCCTAGGTCCCTACTGATGTCCCCCACCGTCACCCAAGCTCAGCCTGGGGGAACTTATGGGGAGGGAGGGAGCCTGGGTGCTTCCCAGTAAAGGTCAGGAAATGAGGGGTTCAGGCCTCCCGAACCCAGGACTCCAGAGTCAGACAAAGAGCCTGGATCTGGGGAGGGCTGGGGAGGGTTTGGGGGGCTCAGCTCCCCTCTGGGTGGGGGCCTGTGTGCTGGGAGTGAGGTTCAGGGGTGCTCAGTTCCCGTCCAGGAGGCCTGTGTGCTGGGGAGCATTTGGGGGACTCAGCTCCTATCTGGGGGTCCTGTGTTCTGGGGAGGGCTGAGCTCCTATTTGGGGGACCTGTTGCTGGGAAAGGTTTGGGGGGTTAGCTCCTGTCTGGGGGAGCCTGTGTGCTAGGGAGGATTTGGGGGCTCAGCTCCCACTGGGGGGCCGGTGTGCTGGGGAGGGCTCCGGAGAGGCCAAGCCATATCCTAGGGCACTGGGGTACAGGACGTGCTGAGCCCCCAACCTGGGTTCTCACCTTGCCCCCCAACTCCGTGGAATCAGGATCTCCACCGTCTTCTCCTGGACCTGAGGCCTCATCTGGGGTGAAGGGGCCTGAGGTGACACACGGGGGTTCTTGGGGGGGGGCAGAGCCGAACCCCAGGCAGGGGGATTTTTAGGTGCGTAGGGCTGGAGTGATAGCACAGCGGAAGGGCATTTGCCTTGCACATGGCCAACCCGACCGACCGGGGTTCGATTCCTCCGCCCCTCTCGGAGAGCCCGGCAAGCTACCGAGAATATCTCCCCGGCACGGTAAAGCTTGGCAAGCTAACTGCGACATCTTCGATATGCCAAACATAGTGACAACAAAGTCTCACGATGGAGATGTTACTGGGCCCGCTCGAGCAAATCGACGAACAACGGGAGGACAGTGGCAGTGACAGTGGATGGGAAGGAGAGGGCAGTTGGGGAGGCAGGGAGAGGGGAGAGGGGGTGGGTGGGGCAGAAGGCACAAGGTAGAAGAGAAGAAGATGAGGGGGAGAGATGAGGGGGGAGGGGCAGGGCGGAGGGGTGATGGGGGGGCCAAGATCAGGGGTATTCCGTGGAGGTGGGCTAAGCCGGGTAGACAGGACACTGGTAAAGGGACAGTGAGGGGTTGAGAGCACAGAGAGAAGTGGGGGTCAGGGGCACTCACAGGGGGGCCGGCACTGGCTCAACATCAGCTGTCCCACCTTCCGGAAGAGCCGGCCCAGAGGTGGGGGGACAGCGAAGATTGGGGGGCTGTGGCAGGAGTGGGGTGGCAGCCGGTCCGGGGTGAAGCCCTGGCATGGTGCAGGGCAAGAGGGTCAGCACCCGCATCGCGCGCGCACACCTGCCGCACCCCCACCCCGGCGAACGCACCTGGGTGAAGAAATCGTCCTGCAGGAGCAAATCCAGGCTGGGTCGCGCCGCAGGGTCCAGCGCCAGCAGGCGGGCGATGAGGCGCCGGGCGTTGGGGGACAGGTGGGTGGGCTCCGGGTAGCGGCCGGCTCGGATATTTTGGTACATCTCGGACAGAGGGGTCGCCGTGAAGGGGGGCGCTCCGGTCAGCACCATGTACCTGGGTGGAAGGGGTGCGCACCTGTTTGCACCCCGCCCGTGCTCCTGGTAGGGAACCGCTCAGTGCACGGTGGGCGGGAAGGGGGCAGAAGGGACCGCCAACCCCTCCCCCCCGTACCCATGCACACCTGCGCCCACAGTCCTGCTGGGGCTGCCACATGCATCCTCTGTTCTTCTTTACTTTTTTTTTTTGCTTTTTGGGTCACACGCGGCAATGCTCAGGGATTACTCCTGGCTCTGCACTCAGGAATTACTCCTGGTGGTGCTTGAGAGACCATATGGGATGCCGGGGATTGAACCCGGGTCGGCCGTGTGCAAGGCAAACACGCTACCCGCTGTACTATCTCTCCGGCCCCATTCTCTGTTTTTGTTACTTTTTTATTTTTTAAGGTTCTTTGGCCACATCGGCAGTGCTCAGGAGCGACCCCTGGCCGCGCTTGAGGGACCCTATCAGCCACATGCAATGCCAGTGCCTAACCCTTCCAGATGCAACGCCCCCGGCTCCCCGCTCACATGACGCAGCCCAGAGCCCAGATGTCAGACTGGCATGAGTGTCCGTTCCGGGTCACCACCTCTGGGGCCTGGAAATTTGGGGTCCCGCAGAGCACTCTGGGGAAAGGGACACAGGGGCTCAGGCGGGCAGGTGGGCCTCCAGGGGCCCCTCCTGAGGCTGCTCAGCCGCTGTAGCTCTCACCTGTGACAGCGGCCCCCTGGCCCCACCCTGGCGGCCAACCCCAGGTCCCCGATCTTCACCTCCATGTTCTTGTTCAGGAATAAGTTACCTGCGGGCCGGGCCGAAGAGAGAGAGCATAGGGGTAAAGGCACTTACTTGCCTTGCAGAGTCAAGAGTGACCCGTCCCTGAGCACAGAGGCAGGAATAAGTTCTGTACAGGCCTGGAGTAACCCAACATCTACCCCGGGGGGGGGGGGTAAAAAAAAAGTTGCAGAAAAGGTGCGGTTTGAGGGACAGCAACCACCTCTGGCCCCGCCCCTGATCTCTAGCCCCGCCCCTTGTTGCTTTTGCCCCACCCACGATTCCCTAGCCCCGCCCCTAATTTCTAGCCCCGCCCTTTGTTGCTCTTCCCCTCTCCTGATCTCTAGCCCCCCTCCTAATTTCTAGCACCGCCCTTTGTTGCTTTTGCTCCACCCATGATCCCTAGCCCCGCCCCTAACGTTTAGCCCCTCCCTTTGTTGCTCTTGCCCCACCCCTAATTTCTATCCCGGCCCATTGTTGCTTTTGCCCCACCCTCTGATCTCTAGTCACGCCCCTAATTTCTAGCCCCGCCCACCCCTGACCGCCAGTCCCGCCCCTCCCCACACACTGAGCTTCAGGTCGCGGTGCACGATCCTCCGCTGGTGCAGGTAGTCGAGGCCGCTGACCAGGCCACGCAGGTAGTAGCGCACCTCGGGCTCCGTCAGCGTGCGTCTCGCCTCCAAGACGTGGGCCAGCGACTGTGGATGGCACGGGGAGGGAGGCTCAGCTTCGGGCCGACCGGGCCACCCAGCGCCCACACACGCCAAGACCAGCGCAGCCCGAGGGGTGAACTGGGGTGGGGGGCAGGATCGGATGATGGGGTGCCTCTCAGCTCCGCTCACGGGGCCTCAGAGCAGGACCAGAGCTCTGCCCGCCCCCCAATGGGGGGCTCCAAAGGTGGCTGAAGACATACCTTGATTCAACTGGGCCCCGGGGGTGGAGGGCGGGGGCAAGGCTGAGCAGAAGGGCGCCCCCCACCCCCAGGAGAAACAGCGAGTTCAGATGGACCCTGGCGGCCGTGGAGGAGCCTGAGATGGGCTGAGGGCCACAGGAGAGGCCCAGGTGTCGGCAGGTGAGCGCAGGTGCAGACAGGAGAAGCCCAGATGGGCAGGTGTGGCCCCAGGTGGAAATAGGTAACTCATGCGGGGTGACTGGTGATGAGCATAGCAGACATGGGGGTGCAGGCTCCCGGGGCACCTGGCGGCTGCAGTACTCCAGCACCATGTACACGTGGTCGCGGTCAGCAAAGTGGCCGTGGAAGGCCACGATGTTGCGGTGTCGCAGGCGGCTGTGCAGGGCGATCTCCCGCTCCACCTGTGGAAGGAAGATCACCCAGGGCCAGGGTGCACCTGGCTATGCCCGAGAGCCGACCCCAACCCCAAAGGCAGGAACTTGTCTGGGGGGTGGGTCTGTTGGTTGGGGGGGTCCGTACCTTCCCACGCAGGCGCAGCCGTCCCGGGCCGCCCCCACCTCGCGGCACCACCTTGAGAGCGAACACGCTGTTGGTGGACATATCGGTCAGCTTGTAGCAGCGGCTGAAGGCGCCCTGCAGGGGAGGGACGGACGCGCGGGCTCAGCGGACAGGCGTGCACAGGTGTGCGGCGCTGCGGGCGGCCGCGTCTGTCCCCCGCGACACGCCGCCAAGTCACCCGCAGACGCACACACAGCTCGCACCCTCCCGGGTAAATACGCCGCCGCCGCCGCCGGACGCTACAGCAGACAGACAGACAGACACCGGCAGGAGCGAGCCGGCGGGGACCACGGCCCCGGACGCGCACAAGCCGGGGTCACTCACAGACACCAAGGCGACGCCACGTTCCGGTCCGGGCCCCCGCGCCGAGACCCGCCACCCACGCGCGCGCACACCCACCGCACGCAGCGCCGCGCGCCAAATCCCGCTTCCCGCCTGCGTCCCTGCGCGCGGCCCCCTTCCCCAGCGCGCTCCGGCCGGCGCCCCAACTTCGCCCGCCACCCGCAAGAGACCCCCGGCGGTCTCGGTCTCCCCCCCCCCCCCGCCCCCGGCAACCCCCTTCCCGGCTGGTTTGCGCTTCCGATCCCCGCAGGGCACCCGGCGGGGCGCGGAATCCACACCCCCCTCCCCACCCGGCCGCCTCCCATCCTACCTTGCCGATCAGCTTCCCGCGCCGGTAGACGCGCCCCGAGCCAGGGTCCCGCAGGAAGGCGGAGACCAGGGGCCGGTGACTGCGCCGCCGTCGCCGCTGTCGGGACTCCATCATCCCGGGCCGGGGAGCCTGACCCGGCGCGGGGCGCGGGGTGCGGGACGCGGGCTCCGGCGCAGCCTCGGGGCCCGACCGCGGCGCAGCGCAGCGCAGGGCCAGCGCTCTGGGGGGGGCCGCGCGCCGCCCCGGCGCGTCTTATTGGCTGCGGGGGTAGGAAAGGGGCGGAGCCCAGACGCGCCGGGCGGGCCGGCCCCGGGGTGGGGGGGGGGGCGAGGTGGGCGGCGCGCGGGGGGCCCCCCGGGGTGTGCGGGGTTTCCAGCCACCCAGCCGCCGCGCGTGCAGGCCGGCGCGGGAGTCCGCTGGTGCTGCTTCCCCGCGCGGCGCCTCCTCCTAGATCCCCCACGCCCATTTCGCTGAGTTGGAGACTGAGCTCCCCGGGGATCTGCTGGATCCCTCCAGGCCCCTTTGCCAAGTGAGCGTGGACAGCTGTGGAGTGAGGTGGTTCCGGGTGATGCTGAGGTCATAGCTGGATTCAGAAGAGGGGAGGGAGGGAGAGAGAGAGAGAGAGAGAGAGAGAGAGAGAGAGAGGTTCTCAGGTTGGTGGTGATGGGGGGGTTGCAAGCAGGGACGGGGGGGGGGAGTGGGGACATTGGGGATACAAGGTGTCAGAGATGAAGGGAGCAAGAAGCAACACGGTGGATGGAGTTGAGCACCGCGGTGCCTGGATACTGGGTTTGTGATTCTCTGCATCCCCCGAGGAGCCAGGGGTAGGTACCAGCGGGGCTGTGAGGGCGATTTGCCCCTGGCAGCCAAGCGGACCGGAACCTGGAGTCCCCAAGCGCTGTCCTGCCTTCTCCCCCGGACACGGCACCCACTCGTTCCCATTTTACAGGTGACTACACTGAGGCTCTGGGCGCTTCCTAAAGCTCTCAAGGCAGCCTGGAAGGGACCCGCTAGATTTGAATCCCCGGGCAGCTGCTCTGGTGGCCGATCCAGGCTTAATCCCCGACTGTTACATAACACCCCCAACGGGGCGGTGTGAAGGGCTCTCTGTGACTGTGAGACCAGGCCTCGGAAATTTCCAGAGACCAAGGTTTCAGAACCTGGCCCGCCCTACGGTGCTGGAGGTACTTGTGCACCTAGCCTGTCCAGCGAGGGTTCTGGGGGAGGGAGTGAGGGAGCCCCTTCTGCCCGGCGCTTCGGATAGATACAGTCTCTGGTACCTTGCCCAGAGAGACCTGGGGTGTGCGTGTGTCTCTCAAGCAGGTTAAGAGCAGCGTGTGTGCCAGGGGGCGTGGTGGGGGGGGGTTGTGGGGATGGACGTTGTGATGGGGACACAGGGCCCCTAGACAGAAGGGAGGGACTGTGGGGGACAGAGAGCTTCTTCTCAAGAGCCCAGTTCCGCCCGCCAGCATCCTCCAGGGATCTGCGAGCATCCCCCCCCCCCACCTCCACCTTGGATGATGACAGTCAAGCAGATGGTCCAGACTGAACCAAGCCGGGACGGTCGGGGCCTGTCCCCAGACTCAGGGGGTGGGGCCGAGTGCCCACTTGGGAGTGCGTGTCTGGGTGGATCCCAGGCCCCTGCGCCCCCACGATCTCCAACTCTTTCTTCTCCAGGCTTCCTCCCACCCCACAGTCAGGCAGCCACCCCCAGCTCGGAGCCTCACGCAGCCAGAATGGGGCGCGGAGCTCCCTGGACCCCAGAAACTTCGCAGGGAAAAAAGATCTGGCCCCGCGCCCCTGCGTCTCCCCGCCCACTGTGTTCAGGGCTGGGGGAGCCTCTAGTCCCGCCTGCACCCGCTCCCTGCTAGGGCTCCTCCCGCAGCACTCCGGAGCAGAAAACCAGCTACCACAAAAGCACCTTGATAATCCAAAGTCGCGGGCTCCAGAGGAGGCGTGGTTGGGGGCGTGGCCAGGGCGTGGCCACACCCCCCGCATACAGTCCTGTTCTGGGAGCCGGGCCCTGGCCCCTGGCCCCGAAAGACAGCAGGGAGGGCGTTTGCCTTGCACACGGTCCACCCAGCTTCAATCTCCAATCCCCCCACCCCAAGCACCGCCAGAAGTAATTCCTGACTGCAGGCAGCGTCAGGAAGAGCCCCGGAGTGTCGTCGGGTGTGGCCCCAAAAACAAAAGCCAAACACACACACACATATACACAAATACATGCAAGGGGCCGGAGCAATCGTACAGCGAGCGGGTAGGGTGTCTGCCTTGCATGCGGCTGACCTGGGATCGATCCCTGGCATCCCATAGGGTCAGTTTCCAGAGCACTGCTGGAGTAATTTCTAAGTGCAGAGCCAGGAGTAAGCGCTGAGCATTGCAAGGTGTGAACCCCCCCATAAAAAAAAAAACAATACATGCAAGAGTTCAGAGTAATAGATTAGTCGGTAAAGCACTTACCCTGCATGCAGCCAACCCAGGATCGAGCCCCGGCACCCCATAGGGTCCCCTGAACCCTGCCATAAGTGATTCCTGAGCGCAGAGCCAGGAGGAAGCCCTGAGCACTACCAGGTGGAGCCCAAAATATAAATTTAAAAAAGGGGAGGGTCAGAATGATAGTACAAAGGGTAGGGTGGCGGCCTTGCACTAGGCTGACCCAAGTTTGATCCGACGACCCTCATGGTCCTCCAGTTCCCACCAGGAGTAAATTCCGAGCACCACTGGGTGTAGCTCCCTCCCCCTAATTTTTTTTTTTTTGAGTCACATCCAGCCAATGCTCAGGGGTCATTCCTGACTCATGCACTCAGGAATTACACCTGGCAGTGCTCAGGGGACCATATGGGATGCTGGGGATCGAACCCGGGTCGACCGCTTGCAAGGCAAATGCCCTACCTGCTGTGCTATCGCTCCAGCCCCCTCCTCCTAATTTAAAAAAAAAATAATAAACATAACAAAAATAAACTGCAGTGGCCAGGGAGATAGTGCAGCGGGTCAAGCACTTATGTTGTACATGGCTCACCCGGGTTTGCTGGCCGGTACCCTATACTGTCTACCAAATACTGCAGGAAGTTGTCCCTGAACCCCAGAGCCAAGAGCAAGTCCTGAGTAACCCCGGGTGTGCCTCCTCCAAAAGTAAAAATAGATTAGGTTCCCCACCCCTTCAGCCTTAGGGGAGCTCACTAACACCCCCATTCACCCAAACAACAAGATTGGGGCTTTTGCAGGCCTGGAGCGATAGCACAGTGAGTAGGGCGTTTGCCTTGCACGCGGCTGACCCGGGTTCAATTCCCAGCATCCCATATGGTCCCCTGAGCACCGCTAAGAGTAACTCCTGAGTGCATGAGCCAGGAGTAACCCCTGTGCATCGCCGGGTGTGACACAAAAAGAAAAAAAAAAGATTGGGACTTGCAAGGGGGACTTTCTAGTGCCCTTCACTGCACCCCCATGCTGCCTCGCCAGGGCCCCGTGTCCAAACCTGGCAGTCCCCCATGCCCGCACCGGGCTCTGGCCTGCAAATTTGCTTCTCTCTTTTATGCTTGACCTCAAACCTCTCCGGAGTCAGCAGATTCCCGGGAGAGGAATTGGGAAGCTTCGCTCCAGACATCTGCTCAGGTGGGTCCCTGATGCTGAGACAGTGCTGACAGCCACCCGCCTCCCCGGGGAGCCGGCAGGCCGGCCACGTGCTCAGCGGTGGCCTCAGGGTAACCCCATCTCTGCAGAACCCGGCCCCCCCTCCCAGTCCCGCTCCAGCCTCTGAAAGGCCAAGGACTCCCTCATGCTCGCCCGTAGTCTGGAGTCTGTCGGGGTCCCTGTGTGTGAGCAGAGACCCCATGACAGTAGCTGCAGCCTTGGGGGACAGTGCATGGTACCCCCCAGAAACCAGACCAAGAAAAACAATTCCTTTAATCTTTCTTGGGGGAGGGCCTTTTGGGGTCACACCTGGTGATGCTTAGGGGTTACTCCTGCCCCTGCACTCAGGAATTACTCCTGGGACCAGAGTGATAGTCCAGCCGGGAGGGCATTTGCCTGGTATGCAGCCGACCCAGGTTCGATCCCCAGCATCCATCTCATATGGCCCCCAGAGCACCGCCAGTTGTAATTCCTGAGTGCAGAGCCAGGAGCATCGCCTGATTGCCTGAACATTGCCGGGTGTGACTCAAAAAGCAAAAAAAAAAAAAAATTAAATAAAAATAAAGGAATTATTCCTGGCATTGTTCAGGGGATCATATGGGATGCTGGTGATCAAACCCAAGGCAAACGCTTTCCCCATTGTACTGTCGCTCTGGCCCGACCTTGTTCTTTTCTCTTGGCATCCTGGCCTCAGTCCCCAGGCTTCCTGGGAGAAGCCGCTGCTTCCTTCGTCATCTGGGGCTAGACTCTTGGGTCTTGTGCCCTCCTGCTGATGTCCAGGCAGGCGGGGTGGGGGGTTGGGGGGGGGGGAGGGAGACATTGAGTGATTACTTGGCCCTCCGCCTGCCTGCCACGGTCTGACAAAGCAGAGCCTGAAGTAGGGGTTAAGTGCAGGTGGGGAGGGGCCGGAGCGATAGCACAGTGGGTAGGGTGTTTGCCTTGCACACTGCCGACCTGGATTCGATCCCCGGCAACCCATATGGTCCCCCAAGCATCGCCAGGAATAATTCCTGAGTGCAGAGCCAGGAATAACCCCTGAGCATCACTGGATGTGACCCAAACAGCAAAATAAATAAATAAATAAATCACTTGATCACTTGATAATCCCGTTACTCATCGATTTGCTCGAGCGGGCGCCAGTAACATCTCCATTCGTTCCTGTTGTGTGCTAGTGTAGCCCAGTGGCATCTGCTCATTCTAGGCACACGAAGAGCCTCAAACCTATCATTCAGGGTCTTGATGTCTTAAGAAGTCTGACCATCTTGTAGGTGGGCGGCCACGCGATCTTTTGACGTCCCGTGGAATCCAGTCGGTGACGGCTCTAGTCCAGTGGTCGTCTCCAAATCTCATTACGTGTCCAGCCCATCTGATTTTCGACGCCTTGGTCAATAAATAAATAAATAAATAAAATAAAGTGCAGGTGGGGAGCGAGAGATAAGACAGCAGGGAGGGCACCTGCCTTGCAGGTGGCTGACCCCAGGTTCCATCCCCGGCACCCCATATGCTCCCCTGAGTCAGCCAGGTGTGACCCCTGAGCGCAGAGACAGGAGTTAAGCCCTGAACGCAGCTGGATGTGGTGCGATAACCAAAAAGGGTTAAGTGCAGGGGGTGGGGCGGAGGTGGGTCTACAGGGTGGGGGAGGGCAGATGCTGTTTGGGGGACACCATTTCTGAGGGGGTTGGGAGAGAGAGTATCAGGATTAGGGCGCAGATGTTACATGCCCCTGGCCCACGTTTGATCCCCACCCCCCACTCCTGAGTACTGCTAGAGGTCCCCAAATTCTGCTGGGGTCACCCTGGTGGTCAGCTGTCCTGCAGCCTCCATTGCACTGAACCAGCAGCCACGTTGTCTGAACATTGCCTGGAACAGCACCTAGCCCCCCCCACAAACACCTCTTGGGAACCCCCCCAAATAGTAATTCTCAGTGTTGTAGATCAAGACGAGAGTGAAGGGGGCTGGAGCAATAGCATAGCTGGTAGGGTGTTTGCCTTGCACACGGCCAACCTGGGTTCGATTCCCAGCATCCCATATGGTCCCGTGAGCACCACCAGGAGTGATTCCTGAGTGCAGAGCCAGGAGGAACCCCTGAGCATCACCAGTTGTGATCCAAAAAAGCAAAAAAATAAAATCAGGGGCTGGAGTGATAGCACAGCGGGTAGGGCGTTTGCCTTGCACGCAGCCGACCTGGGTTCGAGTCCCAGCATCCCATATGGTCCCCTGAGCACCACCAGGAGTAATTCCTGAGTGCAGAGCCAGGAGTAACCCCTGTACATTGCCGAGTGTGACCCAAAAAACAAACAAACAAACAAAAAATCGAACAAAGGGCTGGAGTGATAGTACAGCGGGGAAGGTGTTTGCCTTGCACGTGGCTGACCCGGGTTCTATTCTCAGCATCCCATATGATCCCCTGAGCACCACCAGGAGTAATTCCTAAGTGCAAAGCCAGAAGTAACTCCTGACCATTGGTTGGTGAGACCCCCCCAAAAAATAAAATAAAAAAGGGAGCTGGAGAAATGGGGTAGGAGATAAGGCACTTATCCTGCACGCAGCAAAAACCAGGTTTATCCCCAGCAGAGTGTAAGTTCCCCGGAGCAACGCTGGGAACCAGCCCAAGCTGAGGCAGGAGGAATCAGACACTGAGCACCAGGTGTGCCCCAAATACCCAAACACCCCCCTTAAAAACTAAAAACTGCTGGGCTTTAACTCACTGAGCGATCCCCAGGACCGGGGAAGGCAGAAACAGACTCACCTCACCAGTCACTTTCAATCGATTCAAAATTATTCCCCAGTGAAATCTTCTTTTTTTTTTTGCTTGTTGGGTCACACCTGGCGATGCTCAGAGGTTGCTCCTGACTCTGCACTCAGAATTACTCCTGGCTCGGGGAACCATATGGGATGCTGGGAATCGAACCCGGGTCAGCCGCGTGCAAGGCAAACGCCCTACCTGCTGTGCTATCGCTCCAGCCCCCTAATTAATTAATAAAAAGGCAAGTGCTTCTGAACAGGGCACAGTGCCAGCCAGCTGAGGACCCTCCAGCAGGACTCAGAAAGGACCCTACTTGTGCGGCCAAGTGTTTGCAGAATACAGCGCTGTTGGGGGTCCCACCCAGTAGTGCTTGGGGGACGCTGTTTTGGTGCCTCCTGCAGCCAGGGTTTGTGTTCTTGCAGGCCCTGTCGTGTGCATTTCTCTGAAATGCATGGTCGCACAGTTTTGGGCGATCAACTGCAGGGCATGGTCTCAGGTGCTTCGTATACGATAGGTGCTCTTTAAAGGTATTGGTATACAGCAACTACTTTATAAAGGTGCTTGGTATACAGTAGGTGCTCTGTAAAGATGCTTGGTATATAGTAGGTGCTCTTTAAAGGTCTTGGTATGGGACTGGAGTGATATTACAGTGGGTAAAGCATTTTCCTTGCATGCGGCCGACCCGGGTTTGATTCCCCGCATCCCATATGGTCCCCTGAGCACCGCCAGGAGTAATCCCTGAATGCAAAGCCAGGAGTAACCCCTGTGCATTGCCAGGAAGGACGCAAAAACCTAAAATAAGTAAATAAATAAATAAATAAAGGTATTGGTACACAGCAAGTACTTTGGAAAGGTGCTTGGTATGCAGTAGATGCTCTGTAAAGATGCTTGGTATACAGCAGGTGCTCTGTAAAGGATGCTCAGTATGGCAGGTGCTCTGTGAAGGGTGCTCAGGCTCGCCAGCCTTGGTCTCAGCCTGCTGTCCTTCGGGTCCACTGAGTAGCTCCACCCTCTCCCCTCCCCTCCCCCCCCACATCTGCTGACCTCACCCTACCTCCCGGCACCGGACACTCCCAGGCGTCCCCAGCCTGACCTGGTCCCCAACTCCCAAACTCGCCCCTGGCCAGTGGCACCTCAGCGCAGACAAGACCCCCCCACCCCTGCCCCCACCCTGGCCCTCTCGCCGCGCCCCCTAAAACCCAGCCCATACTGGCTTCCTCCCTTCCTCCCACCCCCTCTGCTCCTCAGAAGCTTGGCTGCTCCCCAGCGTCTCCCCAGGGGACCCATCAGCAGCGGTGGCAGATGTCCCTGCCCAAACAGAGAAGACCCACCCAGGCCCCTCCACACCCCGCCCCCACTCAGCCCCTCCCCCCGCGGCCCCACACTGCTCCCCCCTCTCCATCCTGTGCTCCCAGAACGGCCATGGACAGCACCTCCAAAACCTGAGCCCCCCTGCTGCCCCCTCTCTGACCACTTTCCACCGGTCCCACCCACCGCTATTCAGGTCTCTGCCTCCTCCTCCAGGAAGCCACCGTCCCACTAGTAGTAGTCTGATGGCCGATGCCTGTCTGTATACAGTAGGTGCTTAATGTATGCGGAATAAACGGGTGGGTGGATTGATGAACAAGTTAATGAATAGAGAAATGAATTAATGGCTGGATGGGCAGATGGAGGGAGGGAGGGAGGGAGGGAGGAGAGGCTGAACTGATAAGTGGATGGCCGGATGAAGAGACGGCAGGCAGATGGAGGTGAAGCCAAATGAATGGTGAGGGAAGGGACGGATGGATACCTGGGTCGATGAAGGATGGATGGATGGAGGGAAGGAGGGAGGAAAGGAGGCTGAATTAATGAATAACTGGAGGGACGAACAAGAGGGCTAAATTAATGAATGGGTGCATGAATAAATGAATAGACGAATACACAGAGAGAAGAATGGATGGTGAACTGGGGATGGGAGAGGATGACTGAACTGATGAAGAGCTGAATGGATGGGAGTGGCTGGCCGAGAGAGGGAGGATGAAAGATAGAGGAAGGGCTGGAAGGAGGGAAGGAGGGAGGGAGGCTGAAGGATGCGTGTTTGTTGATGAAGGAACCGTGAGAGGCACCGAGCCCTCCTTGGAGCCAGTCCAGACGGTAGGGGTCTCTCCCAGTGCCAAGGCTCAGGCCAGAGAGCCTGGTAGGCTTCCAGGAGGAGGCAGCATTGTGGCCTGGGCCAGACTGGGGGAGGGTGTGTGTGTGTGTGTGTGCCGCGGGCTGGGACACCCGCCACTCGTGACTCTTAGCGCCTCGGCTCCAGCACTCGGGGAGAATCCTGGGGTGACCCGAGCAGGGGGAGGGGGTGAGCTGAGGGCGCCTGAGGCATCTTGTGTGGGCGGGGGGCGGTGCGCAGACCGGCCGGGAAAGGGTGGGGTGGTGGGGAACTGGGTGGGGACGGGGTGGGGGGTGGGGGGCGGGTGGTAACTGTCCGCTGCGCTGTCCAAAGCGGAGATCCGGCTGGAGCATCGCAGCGTGGACCCCCCGGGGCGGGCCCCACTCGCCGCCTGGGGAAACTGAGGCCGGAGAGGGTGGGGAGCGGGACCTTGGGAAGGCGCCTCTGGCCGGGAGCCCGGGGGGCGGGCCCGGGCTGGGGCGGGGTTGCGTCCTGTGGTGACAGCAGCGCCTGGGAATGCGCGGGGCCAGGAGGGGGTTCTCCGCCCCCCCAACGCCCGGCCCCTGGGGCTCAGCCTCTGCGGATCGCGCTGGGGCCCGGCGCTGGGGCGTGGGGGTGGGGGGCGGTGGCCGGGTCCGGGGGAGGAGGGCGGGACCCCAGCATCAGGGTGCTGCAGTGGGGTGCCCGCGAGGGAGGGGTGGGGGCGCAGCACGGGCACCCCCTGTGCTGCGGCCGTCGAGGGCCGGACTCCCGCCGCCCGGGCCCCGAGCGCGGCGCATTCCCGGGCCCTGAGCGCGGCGCCCGGAATAGCCGCCGCCGGGCGCGCGTCGGGGAGGGGTGGAGGGTGGCGGGGGCGCTGCCCTGCCCAGCGCTGCCCAAGGTCAGCGCGGTGGCCGCCCGCCCGGCCGCACCGACGCGCCACGGCCGCGCGGGGGCGCACGGGGCCGCCGCCCCTCCGGACCCCGGCCTGGGCGCGCCCCGGGAGGCCGGGTGGGAGGGGCCGCCCCGGGCTCCCCGCGCCCCTCCCGCGGGCCCCGCCGCTTCCGCTCGCCCTGGGGCCGCCCGGGGAGCCAGGACGCGCAGCCCGGGCTCCTTGGACGCCGGTAAGTCCCTCTTTTTATCCCCCCACTCACCTGACGCTCCCCCCACCAACCTCCTTTCCTCCTACCTCTAAACTTCCTACTGGGTAAACTGAGGCCTAGAGTCCGGGCCTGCCCGTCTGCCCGTGTCATCCTCTGTGGGGAGATCTTGGCTTCTACCTGGGACTTTGGAGAAAGCCCGCTGTCCTCAGTTTTCACGCCTGCACCCCGAACCCCAAAACCGTGGCTGGGAGGGGGTGTGAGTGGAAGTCTAACCCATCCCCACTTCCTGGCGCCCAGACTTCTGTTTCTGGACCTCTGCTCCGTGTGGAGAGGCCAGGAAGGTTGGGGGTACCGTGTGATCAAATGGGGGGGCAGTCAGTCTTGTCCAGTCAGCACCTGGATCTGGGGTTCCCAGGATCAGAGCCAGGAGCACTTGTGAGTTGGAGAATCAGAGGGTCCTGCAGGATCGGGGGGGGGGGCGTCCTGAGCCAGGCCTTCCCTGGACCCACACCCCCGGGGCCTCCGGGATGTCCTGCCTGTCCTTCGGGCTGTGCTGGCTGCCGGCTCCCTGGCCCAGCCCCCAGAAACGCTCAGGGCGCCACCGGCACCTCCCCACCTCCTCCCCTCTCCGCCCATGGGCCGCAGGTAACTTCTCCTGGCTGGAGGGAAACTGAGGCCCAGAGTGGCAGCAGAGTCCCCTCCCCCGCCCTCACCCGAGGCCCCTTTCTCCTCCGCAGGACGCCCCCTCCTCTCCCCATGAGGCCATGAGGCCCACAGACTGGGGTCCAGTCGGCTCCTCTCGCCTGCCCCCAGCGTGGGGGGCTCCCTGCTGTCACCCTTCTGCCAAACCCACTGTGAGGTCTCCTAGTGTGCTGGCCTGAGTCCTCTGGGCCCCACCCCCACGCACAGATGGGGAAACTGAGGCACAAGGCTACCAAGTGGCTGGGCCCTGGATGCACTGGAAGGTAGATGCCGTGAGGATGGGGTTGGTCGGTGTTGGGGAGGGGGGATCCCGGCGCTTGGGGGGACAGGAGTGGGCTGTCCTGGAAGGAGCCTCAGTGGCACCTTCTGTCAGACTCCGACTAGGCACGCCCCAATGGGAGCGCCTCGCTCTTCCGATTCTCCCTTCAGCTCCCACGTTCCTCACCTGAACCCGGGCTCCCTCCAAACGTCCCTGACGTGGCAAGGGAGGAGGCTACACGTAGCCAACCCAGGTTCAAACTCTACCAGTGCTGCATATGGTACCCCGAGCACTGCCAGGAGTGATCCCTGAGCAGAGCCTGAGTCAACCAGGACCATTGGTTGACCCACTCCAAAAAAAAAAAAATCACAGAAAAAGAAACCCAAACAATTCTTGGAAGGAAATGCTTTTTTTTTTTTTTTTTTTTTGCTTTTTGAGTCACACCAGGCGGTGCACTGGGGTTCCTCCTGGCTCTGCACTCAGCAATTACTCCTGGTGGTGCTCGGGGGACCATATGGGATGCTGGGAATCGAACCCGGGTCGGCCACGTGGAAGGCAACCGCCCTCCCTGCTGTGCCATCGCTCCAGGCCCTGGAAATGCTCTTTTTAATCACCCCATTTTTCAGAGAGGAGAACTGAGGCTCAGAGAGACTAACATCCCTGTGCCCCCAAGTCACACAGGCGGTCAGGGCAGAGCTGGGGGCTTAACCCCTGGCCAGTGACTGTCTTTGCTCCCCCCCCAGATCCCACCCCCTCCAGGCCCACCTGTTACTGTTGTGGACGGTGCTCAGCTGTGGTTTGGGGAGCAGTGCTCAGGTAAAGGGGGGCCAGGAGCCCAGGGGGGAGGCTGATGGGCGCCAGGGACCCAGCAGGGCTTGCGACAGGCCCCTCCGGGGGCTCACTCGGCCTGTCTCCCCCCAAGTAGGGTCCGGGGGAGTGGACGCCATGGGGGTCCTGGAGCCGCTGTTCCAGCTCCTGCGGGCGGGGGCTAGCCGTGCGCAGCCGGCGCTGCATCCGGTGAGGGGGTGAGCGGGAGAGGGGGTCCGTGGCCTGCCCCCTCCGCCAGCTCAGCCCATCCCCGGCCGCACCCTGAGCCTGCCCACACATGCTCTGCCTCGCTCCCGCCGGAATGCGGGTGGGGCTGGTGGGGACAGAGGGTGGGCAAGGCGGCTCTGGGGAGGGGGTCCCTGGGGGTCCCATAGGCTCCAACTCTGCTCCCCTTAGGCTCCCCGGGGAACATCCGTGCTGGGGGGATTCCCATGAGTATCGTCTCTGCTCCCTACCGGTGAGTGACATCCGCCTCTCACACCCTGGGGAACCCCCCCCCATGCCTCCAAAGCTCTTTCAGCTTCTGACCCCATCTCTGCCCCCCAGGACTGCCCCTTAGGGGCCGTGCCCTTTCGTGATCTCCAATGTGCTCTCTACAATGGCCACCCAGTCACGGGCATTCAGAAGACCTACCAGTGGGTGCCCTTCTATGGTGGTGAGTTGTCCCTCCCTCCAGTGGGCCCTGTGGGAACCACTGAGAGCTGGCAGGGAGAAGGGATCAAGGATGCAGAGGCACGGGGAAGGGTATCTTTGGGTGGAAGGAGAAGGGACAGGCGCACTGGGGCTTTGAAGGATGCATAGAAGTTGAAGAGGAGGGGAGCAATAGTCAGGGAAAAATCGGGACTGTCTGACTTTAGGTGAACACCAGGTCCAGGATATGCTTGCAATGCTATCCAGAGGCCCACAGTTACCCTGATAGCAGGAAATGTTGCTGTCCTGAGCTGAAAATAGCAAGTTATATAACTCTGTGCCCCGGGGCAGTGCGCCTCTAGATTGACAGGACACTGGCAGCCTGAGTCTTAGATAAGCAAGGCCTGGAAGGAAGAGAGCTCCAGCAGAAAGAACCTCCAGGGGGCCAGAGCCATAGCACAGCGGGTAGGACTAGGACGTTTGCCTTGCACGCGGCCAACCCGGTTCAAGCCCCGGTTTCCCATATTGTCCCTCCAGCACCGCCAGGAGCAATTCCTGAGTGCATGAGCCAGGAGTAACCCCCGAGCGTCTCTGGGTGTGACCCAAAAAGAAAAAAAAAATCAGAAAGAACTTCATGGATTTTTGTCATCGTTGCTTGAGAATTGAGGGTCATCTGTCATGATGCCCTCCCCCCATCAGCGCCCACGGTGGCCCCATGTAGCAGGCGGGGTCTGGCCTTCATGTTCAGGGAGGTGGGACCCTCAGAAGGAACAGAGACGGGCCTGATGGCATGATGCCCACTGCCAAGAAGATGGGGAGGGGCTGGAGAGAGCTCTGGGGCTAAGGCGCTGGTCTTGCATGCAGGCGACCTGGGCTTGATCCCAGGCACCAGCAAAGGGTCCCTCCCAAGCACCACCAGGAGTGATCGTTGGAGACAGTCCGGAGTAAGCCCTGAGCACTGCCGGATGTGGCCCCTCGCTCCCCATAAAAGAGGGCAAACTGAGTCTTAGTGAGTGTTTGGGGGAATGAATAGGCTATTCATGACGCGTTATATATATATATATAAGGACCTCTGATTTCAGGATTTGTCAGGAATGAATGAATGAATGAATAAATGAATGAATGAAAGCTACAAGTAGCCCTATACTAGCGAGGAAAGGCCCAGTCCAGGCTGTTACCACCTCCTGGTGCGGCCTTGGCTGCGTCGCTGGGCCTCCTCTGCCCTAGGAGTCCAGCAGGGAGGAGGCTGGACCTTGCTAGATGCCCCTGGGGTCCGCCCAACCACTCCTCCCGTCCGTTCCCAGCACCCAACCAGTGCGACCTCAACTGTTTGGCGGAGGGGCACACCTTCTACCACAGCTTCGGCCGAGTGCTGGACGGTACCCCCTGCAGCCCTGGTGCCCAGGGGCTCTGCGTGGCAGGCCGCTGTCTTGTAAGAACCCCTCAGAGTGCCGCCCTCTTCCCGCGGGTCCCACCTCCCCCGCCCAGGACCCGCCCCCACGTCCTTGGTCCTCCAGAGATCCCAATCCCCACCCTCAAGCCACGCCCTCAACGGGCCCGCCCCCTCATAGACTCCACCCACCCACCTCCAAAGCCCGCCTTTTCGCCCAAGTCCCGCCCCTCTCAAAGCCCTGCCTGCCAATAGAACCTGCCCATTTGGTCCGGGCCACGCCCCTGCGCCAGGCCACGCCCCCAGCGCGTGCGGGCTGGTTGGCGGTCCCCGACGGCTCGCCCTCTTTCCCACTTCTTTAGAGCGTGGGGTGCGACGGTTTGCTGGGCTCCGACGCTCGCGAGGATCAGTGCGGTCGCTGCGGAGGCGCCAACGACTCGTGCCTTTTCGTGCAGCGTGTGTTCCGGGACGCTGGTGACTGCCCGCCCCGTCGTTAGAGACCCGCCAGTTCAGAGCCCTTTAACCAGCCGCGGGCAAGGCCGCCGAGTCCCGTGTTGATTGGGCGAGCGGCGACCCAGCCCCTCTGAGCCGCCACTCTGATTGGTCGCTTCCCCAGGGTTCCGCCCTGCCTAGCACAGACGGGGTTTAACTCTTTCCTCGCCACATTTCAGCTATTAAAAAACACCCATTTGGGGGTTGGAGCGATAGCACAGCGGGGAGGGCGTTTGCTTTGCACGCGGCCGATCCGGGTTCCATTCCCAGCATCCCATATGGTCCCCTGAGCACAGCCAGGAGTTAACTCCTGAGTGCAGAGCCAGGAGTAACCACAGCATTGCCGGATGTGACCTAAAAAGAAAAAAATAAAATAAAAACACCCATTTAAGGAAGGTGTTTTGGGTCCCAGCCGCTGACTAAGCTCCTTCCCCGTTGCCTCGTGTAGTTCCCGAATCATGCCCCAAACACCCTTCTCTCCTGCGCAGGGGCCTTCGCGGGATACTGGAACGTGACTCTCATTCCAGAAGGCGCCAGACACCTCCGTATCTCCCACCGGAGTCGCAACCACCTGGGTAGCGCTGGGTTTGAAGGGGGAGGCGCCCTGCTGGCTGCTTACACGTGGGGAAACTGACGCCCAGAGTGGCGGTGGGAGGGACTGGTCCCAGGAGCCCTGGCTGATCCTTCCCTTTCAGCACTGATGGGGGGTGATGGGAGCTACGTGCTCAATGGGAACTGGGCCATCAGCCCACCTGGGACCTACGTGGCAGCGGGCACCCGTGTGGTCTACACCCGTGATGCTGAACTGGAGGAGACTCTGCAAGCCACAGGGCCCACAACCCAGGACATGCTCTTACAGGTGGTGTGTGTGTGTGTGTGTGTGTGTGTGTGTGTGTGTGTGTTGGGGGGGCCGGGGGGCAGAGAGTATCGGGCTGGAGGATCTCAGGGGGAGCAGAGACCAAAGTAGGGAAGCTGTAGGGGCTGGAGCGATAGCACAGCGGGTAGGGCGTTTGCCTAGCACGCAGCCAACATGGCCGACACAGGTTCGATTCCCAGCATCCCATATGGTCTCCCGAGCACCGCCAGGAGCAATTCCTGAGTGCATGAGCCAGGAGTAACCCCTGAGCATCGCGGGGTGTGACCCAAAAAGAAAAAAAAAGTAGGGAAGCTGTGATTGGAGCGGGATGGTGGGTGGGGAGACCAGGATGTTGGGAAGGGAGCAGGAACCAGAGAAGGGAGACAAGAACCAAGGGTCAGAGGGGGGAGGCTGCTGGGACAGGGTCTGAAGGGGGAGGCTAGGACAGCAGGTCAGAGGGGAGGAGCTTGGGAACAAAGTGAGAGGCTGAGACAGAGGGGGGAGATGGAGTCGTGGGGGTGGGGAGAAGCTGGCATCAGAAGGTCAAAGTGAGGAGTCAAGGACAGAGGCGTGGGGGGCGCTGTATGTGATCCCTTCACTCCCCCACACCCACCATAGGTTCTGCTGCAGGAGCCCAACCCCGGTATCGAGTTTGAGTTCTGGCTCCCCCAGGAACGCTATGACCCGTTCCTGGCTCAGAGCCAGGCCCTGGGCTGGTCTCTGCGGCAGCCACAGCCCCGGGAGGTGGAACTTCAGCCCCCTGTGATCCCCACGGCCCCCGCTGCCCGCCCCCCACGGACCTCGACCCCTGCCCCAGGTGAAGGGGATGAGTGTGGGTGGGGGCGCGCTGGGGTGCCCGTACTGTGTGCCTGACCTCACCGCCCCGCAGACTCCTGCCCCCCCTGTCCCGACACCCGAGGCCGTGCCCACCGGCTTATCCACTACTGCAACAGCGACTTTGGTGAGCGACCCCCTGACCCAGCCCCTCCCTGACCTCAGTGGACCCCTCCCTGACTGCACCCTTTACTCCTGATGCCAACTTGCCCCTGTGCTGTTTTTCGTTTGGGGTTTTGTTCGTTCGTTTTTGGGGCGCCCCCGGAAGTGCTCAGGGCTCACTCACCCCTCGTGGTGCTTGGGAAACCATCGGGGAGGCCTGGGATTGAACCCAGGTTGGCTGAATGCAAGGGAAGCACCCTCCCCACTGTCCTAGCTTCATAGGCCCCCCTGCTTTATTGTTCATTTGTTTGGGGGGGGGCACACCCAGCAGTCCTCAAGGGGTTTTTTTTTTTTTCTTTTTGGGTCACACCCGGCATTGCACAGGGGTTACTCCTGGCTCTGCACTCAGGAATCACTCCTGTCGATGCTCAGGGGACCCTATGGGATGCTGGGAATCGAACCCAGGTTGGCTGCATACCAGGCAAACACCCCACCCGCTGTGCTATCGCTCCAGCCCCCAAGGGGTTCTTCTTAACAGTGGTTGGAGGGGACCCTGGCGGTACCAGGGATCAAACCCAGGCCTCCAGCTGGCAATGTACTGACCTATCTCCCCAGCTCCTGCCCCCCTCCCCACTCTGGGCCCCCCAGGCTGGTGCTCCCCTAGCCCCGACATCAGCACTGCTCTCTGCCCAGTGTTCCGAGCCCAAGTGCTGGGCCGCCTCCGTCAGGCCGAGGAGACCCGCTACGAGGTGCGTGTGCTTCTCATCTACAAGAACCGCTCGCCCCTGCGTGCCCTGGAGTATGTGTGGGCACCGGGCCGCTGCCCCTGCCCGCCGCTGGCCCTGCATCGCGAGTACCTGCTGGCCGCCCGGCGCCTCGTCAGCCCCGATGGCACCAAGGACCAGCTGCTGCTCCCGCACTCGGGCTATGCCCGGCCCTGGAGCCCCGCGGAGGACAGCCGTGTGCGCCTGACTGCCCGCCGCTGCCCTGTCTGAGTTCACGGCTAAAGCCCCCCCCCCCCCAACGCACACACAGCTAAAGCAAGTTCAAACTGCAACGATTTCTGGGGCTGGAGAGATAGGACAGCGGGAGGGCGCTTGCTTTGCATGTACCAGACCCTGGTTCGATTCCCGGCATCCCATAGGGTCCCCGAGCTCCGACCCGGAGTAATTCCTGAGTGCAAAGACAGGAACAACCTCTGGGCCCTAACTGCCATGAAGCCCCCCCTATTTTTTTTAAACACTCAGAAACTATGTGTAAGTTTTTCTCCCCATTACCTCCTCCTCACTTGCTTAGGACACAGTCACAAACAAACAGGCGTGGCCCTGAGCAGGGTCAGGCCTTTCTGGGCACTGTAATGGACTGATGCTCCCTTTAGCCTCGAGCTACCAGGAAGCACATTACTGGGTTGTTTGGTTTTTATTGTTCATCATCCTGACACAGTATGTTCTCTCTTCTCTCTCTCTCTCTCTCTCTCTCTCTCTCTCTCTCTCTCTCTCACACACACACACACACACACACACACAACCCTCACTTATTCAGAGATGCAGTCACAAATAGGCAAGCTTCTCCTGACAAGCCTTTCCAGGCTCTAAGATGAACCCAGTTCCCTTTTCACTCTGGCTTCCAGAAAGCTCAGACATCATTTTGACAACCTCTGCCTTCCTGGGCTGGGCATCTTTGCCTCAATATGGCTATTCATCTCTTGTCAATTTACCATTTTTTTTAAAAAACACTTATTTTTTGTAATACCAGCACGCCAGTCAGCTCCACGATCTACTTTCACCGTAGGGACTTACTGTCATCATTCTGATCCAGCACCCCACCTCCACCCCATTCTGATCCCATTCTCCCCTACTAATGTCACTGTGAGTCTCAGTTTCCCCTTTTTCCCGGGCCCCCCTCCATCTGGAACGATTGCTTCCTTACTGCATCCTTCCAATAAGTATGTGTGGTGGGACTGGAGAAATGGTACAGCACTTACCTTGCAGGGGGGTCCACATAGTTTTGATTCTGGGCACCCCATAAGGTCCCCTGAGCCAGGAGTGATTCCTTAGTGCCCAGCCAGGAGTAACCCCTGCGCATCTCCGGGGGTAGTCCAAAAACCAAAAGGCGGGAAAAAAAGGACGTGTGGAGTGCTTACTGTCTACTAAGGGTCCATCCCCTGCCTGACCCTGTCCCCAGGCACCAGTGCTGAAAAGCATCCCCTCTTTCGGGTGGAAGTGGGCGCTGTTCTGGAAGGAGGCACGGGTCCCGGGCGCCCCCTGGTGGCAGATCTGGGGAAGAAGGCACATCTCGCGGTCAGCCTGTTGATGACCTCTGATGGCCTCTTTTGGTCATCCCCTTCCACCCGCCCGCCAGCGCCCACCTGGATGCTTCTGCAAGGCAGTTCCCTTCGCTCACCGTTTCCCCTGGTCTCCTCGGCCTCACTTCTGGATAAGAATAAATCAGCGCTGGGGGGATCTGGGCTTCCGGGTTATGTGGAACGGCCCGGCTTGAGGATGCGGATCCTGGGGGAGGCCAGTGCGGGGCCCACTTCTGGCAGACACGGTGGCCTGTGGCCACCAGAGCCCCGGCCGGTCCCCTGATCTCTTCACACTGGTTCCTGTAATTAACATGCATGCAGCCTGCGACTGCTCCGATGTTCAGGACCTGTGTGTGGTGCAACCAGAGATGGATCCCGGGGCAGCTGCCTGCAAAGCCTATGTATTCTCCAGCCCTTGAAACAATCCAAGTTTCACACCAACAGACTTTTTTTTTTTTAACGAAAGAAACTTTGTAACTCTAAAGGGCCCACGCACAGGGGAACGTGATCTCCTGTTTACACTCAGAAATCTTCTACCCCATATTGCTTGTTTCCGTCAAAATATAAATAAAAACCGCAGGGAGGGTCAGCAGAGGAGGATGATCTTTGTTAAAGGAAGACATTGTCGCACTGGGGCGCGGGGGGGGGGGGGGATGTGGGGGTGCGGACTGGGACCTGCACAGGCGCTTCCGGGCCACAGCTCAAGTTCTCGCGGGACTTTCTGTCTGCTTGAGCCGCAGCTGGTGTTCTTGCGAGACTTTCCGTCCAGCTGGGGCCACAGCTGTAGAGTTCTCGAGTGACTTTATCTACCAGGATTACAGCTGGTGTTCTCACGTGACTTCCTGTCCCCCCCCCCGGGGGCCACAAGTGGCGTTCTCACGTGACTTCCTAGCCCGGGAGAGTCGATCCCAGCGGCGCTGCACGCAGGCACCCATTGCCTTTCTTGGGGTCCCCCTAGGATCCATTCCTCCGCTCGGGTTACCCCGTCCCTGACACTCACCCCATGGCTGGTGAAGGGCCGCAGGAGTGAGGACGGGGAGCTGGGACGACTCTGAACGTGCCATACCCGGCCCTGCTGTCCCCGGAGCTAGCCCGGTGGGGGGCCCTTCACAGCTGAATCATGGAGTGTTGTAGGATTGGAGTCCACTGTCCGGCCTCTGGGGTGGGGCAGCCACCATCTCAAAGTACAAAATAGGACCGTGAAGTCTTTATCTCATGATGCCTTATCTTTGCTTTTGGGACCACACCCCAAAACTTAGTGCTCAGAGGCGACTCCCTGCCCAGTGCTTGGGGCTTGGGGGTGCTCAAGGGACCATGCAGTGCTGAGGAATGAACTAGGGTCCTTTGCATCCCTGGAAAGCACCTTAAGCCCTTCTGTGTGTGTGTGTGTGTGTCTGTGTGTGTGTGTGTGTGTGTGTGTGTGTGTGTGTGTGTGGCGCGTGGGTCACACCTTCACACCTGAGTGAGCTCAGCCATAATCAGCTCCGTGCTTCGGAATCACTCATTCCTGGCAGGAAGGGAGGTGTTCTGGGACTCCCGGGATTGAACCCAGGTTGGCAGTGTGAAAGGCAAGCGCCCGACCTCCCGTATTATCTCTCTGGCCCTTCTCTAGTTCTTTTTATTACTACTTGGGTTAGTGGGCATTTTTCTTTTATTAGGAGGGAGGACTCACACCTTGAAATGCTCTATTCCACTGTACTTAACTCCAGCCCTCCACTGAGCCTGTTAAGTTTTTGTTTTTTTGCTTTTTGGGTCACACCCAGTGATGCACAGGGGTTACTCCTGGCTCTGCACTGAGGAATTACTCTTGGCGGTGCTCAGGGGACCATATGGGATGTTGGGAATCAAACCTGGGTTGGCTTCGTAGGAGGCAAATGCCCTACCCGCTGTGCGCTATTACTCCAGCCCCTGTTGTAGCACTGTCCTCCAGTTGTACGATTTGCTCACGTGGGCTCCAGTAACGTCTCCATTGAGAGACTTGTTACTGTTTTTAGCATATCCAATACGCCACTGGGAGCTTCCCAGGCTCTCCCAGGTGGGCGGGATAATGTCGGTAGCTTGCCGGGCTCTCTGAGAGGAACAGAGGAATAGAACCCGGGTCGGCTGTGTGCAAGGCAAACGTCCTACCCGCTGTGCTATCGCTCCAGCCCCTGTTAAGTTTTATCCCAGGAAAAGGCATTGTACAGGGAAAATTCTGGGCGGGATCAGAGAATGGGTTCAGTGGGCTGAGTACAGGTTTTGCATATGGGAGATGTGAGTTCAATCCTAGCACCACCAGGAGTGACTCTCCCCTCCCCCCCCAGCATAGAACCGTGAGTATCCCCTGAGCACCATTAGATAGAGCTCCAAAGCAAAACTAAAAGTGTTCTGGCCAGCCACTGGAGAGTCTTGAAACATCTTCCCCTTGGGAAAGAGGGGATTCCTATACCCTTATCCAATGTCAGGGTTCTCCTGCAGAAACATGCAGGGGAATAACACAGATGGCCTTTGGAGAATATATATATATCGAATATATATATATATCGAATATATATATATATACACATATACAAGGGCTGGAGCGATAGCACAGCAGTAGGGCGTTCGCCTTACAAGCGGTCAACATGGCCGACCCGAGTTCGATTCCTCCGCCCCTCTCGGAGAGCCCGGCAAGCTACCGAGAGTATTCGATATGCCAGACACAGTAACAACGAAGTCTCCAATGGAGACGTTACTGGGCCCGCTCGAGCAAATCGACGATCAACGGGAGGGCCTTTACCTATATATGTGTGTATATATATATATATATATATATATACACACACACACACACACACACACATCACACACACGTATATACATATATACGACCCAGGAGTAATTCCTGAGTGCAGAGCCAGAAGTAATCCCTGAGTATCACTTGGTGTGAACCCCTTCCAAACTTGGAGAGAGTGGATAAGACCACCAGCCCTGGAGTCCCTAAGAGCTGGGAGAGGCTAGAAGGCCCTTCCTCTAAGACCCGCCCCAAGAGGCAGCACCCTATCCAAACCCCACAAGTCTTACCTTCTGGAGTCCCTGACAGACCAAATTAAAGCCCCACCCACCAAAGGTTCTGGACCGATCAGTGATGCGGCAACAATGGCCTCAGCAGTATCAGATTGGGATGGTTTCCAGAACCCGGCCAGGCAGGAAGGAGGTGAGGTTACGGCCACAGAACCTGGTGCTGACTAAGGAGCAAGGGTCGCCCCTCTCCACCCTGGGCAGACTGCTGGGTCCCCTGGGAAGGGACAGAACACTCCCATAAGGGGAAGCGGGTCCAAGACAAAGCAGTCAGGATGTGTAGAAAATTAAAACGGTGCCACGGAGCGAGCACTGTGGATTCCCTGCTGTGGCAATGATGGCATGTGTGGGGAGGTTAAAGGTCACCTATCACCTGTGTCCAAGGGTGAGCCAGCTGGGTCGCCTGCCCCTTTCTTGACCCTGATACCTGCAGCACCTCCAACAGCCGGAATCTGAGGATCTCCACGCCCATGTGAACTTCTCCACAGGGTGAGGTGTCATTAATAATTAGCCTCCCTCTATTCTGTCATCCTGGCAAACCCATGTCCTCAGTCAAAGTCCTCTCCACGTTCGCAGGAACCTGCACACCCCATCCCCCCACCACCACTCACTTCTTCTCCCCACCCTCCTACAGCATCCTGCCCCCCCTCCCCATCCTGCCTCAGGACCTTTGCTCAGATTCAAGCCTCTGCCTCTGGGCCAGTCCTTGCCTCTGAAAACCACAAGCACCAAATCCTTGCACCCCCCCCTCTTTATTTTGGTGGAGGGATACACCCTCTGGTGCTCAGGGCTGAACCCTGGCTCTACACTCAGGAATCACTCCCGGCAGTGCTGGGGAGACCTATGAGATGCCAGGATTGAACCCAGGGCAACTGCGTACAAGGCAAGCGCCCTACCCACCGGACACGCTTCTGGTCTTTATCAGGAAGGTTCTCTTTCCTGATCTTGTCCCACTGCATGGTCCTGACATGTTAGTCTGTCCCTGGGAGGGGCAAGGGGATCGGTCAATGCCTGGAATGAAATTCGTGGCTTCTTGTGTGTGTGGAGGAGGTTTCAAAACTTATTCTGGGGGCTGGAGCGATAGCACAGCGGGTAGGGCATTTGCCTTGCACATAGCCGACCCAGGTTCGAGTTCCGGCATCCCATAGGGTCCCCCGAGCACCGCCAGGAGCAATTCCTGAGTGCATGAACTAGGAGTAACTCCTGTGCATCGCCGGGTGTGACCCCAAAAAGGAAAAAAAAACCCTTATTCTGGGCTCTGTGCTCAGAGATTTTTCCTATTGGGCTTGGTACCCCTATAAGGTACCGGGGAGCGAACCCGGGTCGACTGCACGCAAGGCAAGCGCCCGACCCCCGAGGCGGGGCAGGGCGTTGCTCCCTTCACTTCTGGAAGCTTCTTGCCAGGAAGGGGGTCACCCAGCAGGAAGAGCATCCCTAGGGGAAGTGGTGAGGTCCCGGAGCTCGCGGGGATCACGGGATGAGATGTGCAGAGGGCGAGGTGACCGCTCCGATCCTCGGTTTCCTCCTCTGCAAAGTGGGACTGCACAGTGTCCCCCGGGACAACACTGCACCGCCAGGTGCGCGGGATGCTCCCCCAGCACAGAGCCAGCCCACCCACCCCCAGACCTATGACGCATGCGTGAGCCCGCCCCTAGGCCAGACCGGGAGATGCGATTGGTCCATGATCTTTATTAACCCCCTAACAGGCTAGATGTTTGCGCTTCCAGCAGTGCTGCAGGTAGTGGATTCCGTATCTGTGATGGGGCCAGGTGTAGGTGAACTCGGTAGTCGACTCAGAAGTATAATCCTCAGAAGACTCAGATGAGCAGGCCGAGGGCAGCTCGGGGACTGAGGAGCTGCTGGTGGCCTGGGCGGTGACACCCTTCCCAGACTGTCCGTGGGACTTTGCTTTGGGGGTCTTGGGGTCTTTGGGGCTTTTGGCCCCTGGCCTGTCAGAGGTCTTGGAGGAGTACTGTGGGAGGGTAGTACTGGTGGTGTCGTGATTGAGAGTGCCTCGGGGAAACTGGCCAGGGGTTGCCTCCCGGTCGGTGAAGCCGGTGGCCCGTTGGCTCTGCTGGGAGAAGCCCAAAGAGTTGGTGGGAGGTTTGCTCCTGTGGGACTGGACGGACCCCTGGGAATGGCCGTTTGTCTGAAAATGGCCACTTTTCAGGGACTGGCTGCCTTCTCGGTACTGGCCACTCGCTCGATACTGGCCACTCGCCTGGAACTGGCCATTCGCCTGCCTTGGGTCACTGGCATGGGGCTCCTGGAGCTGGCTAGCCCTCTGGGCACGGCCGTTCACCTGGGATCGGCCACTCACCAGGGATGGGCTCGGGCTGTTCACCTGGGGAGGGCTCTGTCTGTTCACCACTGACCGGCCGTTCCCTTGGGATGGGCTTGGGCTGTTCACTGGGGATGAGCTCGGGCTGTTCATTGGGGATGGGCTCGGGCTGTTCGTTAGGGATAAACTTGAGCTGCTCACTTGGGACAGGCTTCGGCTGCTCATTTGGGATGGGCTCAGCGGACTCAGGCTGTTCCCTTGGGATGGGCTCAGACTGTTCATTTGGGACGGGTTTGGACTGTTCACTTGGGACCGGCTCGGGCTGTTCACTTGGGAGGGCCTCGGGCTGTTCACTTGGGAGGGCCTCGGGCTGTTCACTTGGGAGGGGCTCGGGCTGTTCACTTGGGATGGCCTTGAGCTGTTCATTTTGGATTGGCCGTTGCCCTGGGATGAGCTCTGGCTGTTCACTCGGGATTGGCCGTTGCCCTGGGATGAGCTCTGGCTGTTCACTCGGGATTGGCTGTTGCCCTGGGAGGAGCTCTGGCTGTTCGCTCGGGATTGGCTATTGGCCTGGGAGGAGCTCTGGCTGTTCACCCGGGATTGGCTATTGCCCTGGGAGGAGCTCTGGCTGTTCACTCGGGATTGGCTGTTGCCCTGGGAGGAGCTCTGGCTGTTCACTCGGGATTGGCTGTTGCCCTGGGAGGCGCTCTGGCTGTTCACTCGGGATTGGCTGTTGCCCTGGGATGGACTCTGGCTATTCACTTGGGATTGGCTGTTGCCCTGGGATTGGATGTTGCCCTGGGATGGGTTCTGGCTGTTGCCCTGGGATTGGCTGTTGCCCTGGGATGGGCTCTGGCAGTCCACTTGGGATTGGCTGTTCATTAGGGATGGGCTCTGGGATGGGTTCGGGCTGTTCTTTTGGGATTGGCTGTTCACCTGGTGTGGGCTGTTCACCTGGGAGGAGCTGTTCTCTTGGGACTGGCTGTTCACCCGTTGCGGGCTGTTCACTTGGGACTGGCTGTTCACCCGCTCTGGGCTGTTCACCTGGGACGAGCTGTTCCCTTGGGATGGGCTGTTCACCCGCTCTGGGCTGTGCACCTGGGACGAGCTGTTCTCTTGGGATGGACTGTTCACCCGCTGTGGGCTGTTCACCTGGGACGAGCTGTTCCCTTGGGTTGGGCTGTTCACTTGGCTAGACAACAGGGGCTGGGTGAACATGCTTCGGGACGGAGATGGATCCCGGATGCGAGGGGAGCCAGTTTGGGAGTGGACCAAAGATGTGACTGGGGAGGAGGTGTCAGGCAGAAGCTTGCTGGTGGTTGTGGGGTTGCTGGATTCTTTGGGGGGCTCAATGAAGGACTTCAGGGGGGTCTTGGGGTCCCTCTTGGGGTGCGCTGGGTTCTTGGGCTCTATCACGGTCTTTGCCGGCATGTCTGGGCCTGGGGCAGATGGAGCCTTCACTTGTCTTTCTGGTGCTGGGTCAGGCTTGCCTCGGCTGCAGGGAGAGGGCCATGGGCATCAGCAGGGTCTGGGGCGCTCCTCTGTGGGTGGGCCACATGGAGGCTACTGGGGGGTCAGCAGGGGACCAGCTCAAGGGAATCCAAGAGTCAAGCACCCGTAAGTGCATGCCTCGCCTTGTGCGTACACGTGTTCACACATGTACAAAGGGGCCCACGCACACACATATACCTTGATACCCACCTGCGGATCTCTGAGTGCTCACATACATGTGCACACACGGACACGCTTAGCACACACACACACACAGGCCCACTATACCTATGGACGGTCACAGTCATACCAAAGCATGTGTTATCAATGAGCGGATGGTCATCTGCGCACACGTGATGGTCACAGGTGCTGCTGGGCAGGTGCACGGCACATGCACACGAATGTACCAGTAAGACACACCGTCGTGGACGCCACTGCCTGCAGGATGTCTGTACGTGCGCTCACAGGCATGCACATGAGGACATGCAGGGGATCCACACCAAACCTTCCCAGAGCGCACACGCCACACACACTCACACACACGCTCTGCCTTCCTGGGGGTGGGGGGTTACATACTTTCGGTTGGTTGTCTGGGCAGCGGGGGCCCCGCTGGGGTGATGAGAGCCCGACTGCGGGCCAGAGTCTGTAGAGCTGGTTCCCGAGAGCACAGGAGAGAGAGGGGGACAGTCAGTAGCAAGCAGCGGAGGGCAGCGTGGAGGTCAGAGGGCAGCGAGGGGCAGGAGTGGGAGGGAAGAGGGAGCAGCGGAGAGAGTGGGGGCAGGAGCAGAGAGGAAGATGGAGTGGGGGGTGGGTCAGGGGGGCTGCCTGGGGCCGGCCTCTGTACGCACCGTCCCGAGCTATTCCTGTTGCCACGTCCAGCGCTCTGTGGCTGAACTCGCCGACTACGCTGTCCACTGCTGCGTGATGCTTTAGAAATAGAGGCAGGATGACGCGGTGGTACAGTAGATGGGCACCGTTCCATGGCCCGGGAATCATGCAGTACAACAGGAAGGCGCACTGCGGGGACAGGCGGCAGTCAAGCCCCGCCCCCCTCTCCCCCCCAGAGCCCAGACCTGGGCCACCCCCATCAGACAGTTCTTGGGATGAATCTGAGCCTCCACCGTCAGATCATCTTCAGGATGGGCCCAGGATTCCCCCCCATCAGTCCGTCCTCAGGATGGAACCGGGCTGCCACCATTCGACACTCCTCCTGTGGGGCTTGGGACTCCCTCATTAGATAGACCTAAGGATAAACCCGGGCCTCCCCCATCAGATAATCCTCAGAAATGACCCAGGCTTCCTGTAGTCACCAGGCTGGGACTCAGACTTCTTCACCAGCCAGTTTTCGGACTGGGGCTCAGCCTCCGCCATCGGACAATCCTCGGGCTGGGGCTCAGCCTCCCCCATCAGACAGTCCTTCGGTTGGGGCTCAGCCTCCCCCATCAGACAGTCCTTGGGCGGGGCTCAGCCTCCCCCATCAGACAGTCCTTGGGCGGGGCTCAGCCTCCCCCATCAGACAGTCCTTGGGCGGGGCTCAGCCTCCCCCATCAGACAGTCCTCGGGCTGGGGTTCAACCTCCCCCATCAGACTGCCCTGGCGGTGGGCCTGTCCCAACCCCATACTGTTCCCCTCCTCTGTTCCTTCTTTCCTCGGGGACAGGAGCTCGCGTGGGGCGCAACAGCGGGTGCCCACCTTGCCCGCGTAGTAGAAAGGGAACCAGAACAGGAGTAGGTCGCTGAAGAACTCGACAAGGCCCAAGAGCCCGTACACCACCCAGTAGGTGAGCCAGACAGTGTCGTCCTCTTTGCTTGAGCTCTCGATGGCCTTGATTCTGCAGGGAGAGGCGGGCCAGGCTCAGAGGCCATGTGTGCCCCACTGACCGTCCCCCCCTCCCGCCCTGCCCGGACCGCGAGGGACACTCACGAGGCATATGCGGGGTAGACAAATCCGATTAGGTTGCAAAGTAGAGACGCCCCGTAGCCGAATAGAAGATATAGGCTTAGCAGAGTGGCGGCTCCTGCAGGAAAAAGGGGGTGTGAACAGGGTCCCAGCTGGAGGCAGCCTGCTCCCGCCCCCATGCCTGGTGGACTCCCATCATGAGCCTAATCCCCCTTCACTTTTTTATTTTTGGGGGGCACACACACAGCAGTGCTCAGGGGTTACTCTGCACTCAGTAATTACTCCTGGCGGTACTATGGGGTGCCGGGGATCGAACCCAGGTCAGCCGTGTGCAAGGCAAATGCCCTACCCACTGTACCACTGCTCCCACCCATAAACTCCTTTTTCTTTTTTTTTGGTTTTTGGGGACACACTCGGCAGTGCTCAGGGCTGATTCCTGGCTCTGCTCTCAGGGATCACTCCTGGCCATTCTCAGGGGTCCATATGGGATGCCGGGGATCAAACCTGCACTGGCCACATGCAAGGCCAGCACCCTCCTCGCTGTCCTATAACTCCGGCCCCTGTCACTGTCCTCCCGTTGATCACTGATTTGCTCGAGCGGGCCCAGTAACGTCTCCATTTTGAGACTTGTTACTGTGTTTGGCATATCGAATACGTCACGGGTAGCTTGCCAGGCTCTGCCGTGCGGGCGAGATACTCTGGGTAGCTTGCCAGGCTCTCCGAAAGGGGCGGAGGAATCAAACCTGGCTCGGCCAGGCCGGCCGCGTGCAAGGCAAACGCCCTACTGCTATGCTATAGCTCCAGCCCACTTCAATAAACATTGGTCTCAAAGAACCCTGAGGACTGAGTGACAAGTCCCACAGCCGCCCCCCCCGCTGGACGGAAGCAGCGACGCCTCTTCTTGATTCTAGTTCAGACAACCACGGGCCAGGGGCCACCTCCTTTGAACCGTCCTCCCTGCCCCCATCCGTGTGACGCCCCCCCATATGTCCCCCAGGTCTCCTGGAGGAAACAGCGTCTCCCCTCACTCTCCCCCTTTCCCTGCCTGTTGGTGGGTTATGGGGTGCCTTCCTCCAGCCCCTGACCCAGTGCCCACTAACCCACACTCCCCACAGCCAGGGGTCCCAGAAGGCAATAGCCACCCTACATTTCTTTTTTTTTGTTTATTTAATTTTTGCTTTTTGGGTCACACCCGGAGATGCACAGGGGTTACTCGTGGCTCTGCACTCAGGAATTACCCCTAGCGGTGCTCGGGGGACCATATGGGATGCTGGGAATCGAACCCGGGTCGGCTGCGTACAAGGCAAATGCCCTATCTGCTGTGCTATCATTCCAGCCCCAAGGAGAGAATAATTTTTTTTTGTTGTTTTGTTTTTTGGGTCTGGAGCGATAGCACAGCGGGTAGGGCATTTGCCTTGCAAGCAGCCAACATGGCCGACCCGAGTTCGATTCCTGCACTCCTCTTGGATAGCCCAGCAAGCTACCGAGAGTATCTCGCCCGCACGGCAGAGCCTGGCAAGCTCCCCATGACGTATTCGATATGCCAGACACAGTAACAACAAAGTCTCCAATGGAGACGTTACTGGGCCCGCTTGAGCAAATCAATGAACAACGGGAGGACAGTGACAGTGACAGTGACAGGGTCACACCCGGCGGTGCTCAGGGGTTACTCCTGGCTTTGCACTCAGGAATCACTCCTGGTGGTGCTTGGGGGACCATATGGGATGCTGGGAATCGAACCCAGGTTGGCCGTGTGCAAGGCAAACGTCCTATCCGCTGTGCTATCGTTCCAGCCCCAAGGAGAGAATCGTTTTTATTTTTTATTTTATTTATTTTTTTTGCTTTTTGGGTCACACCCGGCGATGCTCAGGGGTTACTCCTGGCTTTGCACTCAGGAATTACTCCTAGTGGTGCTCGGGGGACCCTATGGGATGCTAGAAATCGAAGCCGGGTTGGCCGCGTGCAAGGCAAACGCCCTACCCGCTGTGCTATCGCTCCAGCCCTGGCAACCTACGTTTATTAAGTGTGGGAAGGCGGGCCTGGGCTCCAAAGGACGACGACAGCTGGGGAGGAGAGGTGGCTATGGTTTCCGGGTGTTGCTGCTTCTGATCCGCAGAGGGAGGCCACCCGGGACCAAAGGGCAGGTTCCTCCATCCCCCCAGCCGCCCTCCAGGAATAAGTCTTTACTTCCTGGGGTCTGGGGTGGAAGGGAGAGTCTGAGGTTGGGTGGTTGGCCATCACTGACTCCCCCGCTTCCCCCATCCAGAGATTTCAGCCTCTGAAACGGGGGATTCATTCATTCATTCCCACAGTGAGGAGAAGGTGAGTGTGCAGGGGCGGGGGAGGGGGGGAATCATCAGATACTGAGCAGCAATTATCCTGGGGCACCTCTGCCCCTCAATCCTTTTTCCTGCAACCTCAGCTGAGAGCGGATGAGAGTGGGGGTGCTGGACAAAGCTGTAACACTGTCACCTCTAAAGTCCCTCCAAGCTTCTCTCTAGTCTCTGTCTCTGTTTTGGGGTCACCCCCGGTGATACTCAGGGGTTACTCCTGGCTCTGTACTCAAAAATCACTTTTGGCGGTTGGGGGAAACTTATGAGAATCCGGGGATTGAACCCAGGTTGGCTGCATACAAGGCGAGCGTTCTCCCCGCTGTGCTATGACCCTGGCCCCTCAGTGTCCTCTCTGGCCCCAATTTCCCGGGCCACCCGCTCCCAGCAGCTCCCCAGTGCTCTATGACCCAAATTCCCCGCCTACTGGCAGCAGGTATGTGGAAAGCCCGGTGGGAGGTCAAGGTCCCTGGCTTGAACTGGGGTTTGGAGCTGGGGAGCCCCAGATGGGGAGGCAGATTTCAAAACTAGGGCTAGCTATCTGGTATGGAAATCCAGCAGCTAGAAGGAAAAATGGGGTGGCGGGATTTGGGTTTGCACACGGAAGCTGTTCAAATATGGGCACTGGACATAGAGTCTTTGTGATTCATCCCAGGGGGTCTTTCTGGTAGAGGCAGGGGCTGTAGCGGCATACAGAAGAGGTAGGGTGGAAGCATCACCAGGGGTTGCTCGATGGACAGAGTGCGAGGGTGGCCAGAACTAGAGGAAAATGGTGCGTTAACAATGGAAGTTATATGGGGCTGGAGCGATAGCACAGCAGGTAGGGCATTTGCCTTGCACGAGGCCGACCCGGGTTCGATTCCCAGCATCCCATACGGTCTCCCGAGCACCGCCAGGAATAATTCTTCCTGAGTGCAGAGCCAGGAGTAACCCCTGAGCATTGCTGGGTGTGACCAAAAACAGAAAAAAAAAAAAGAATGGAAATTATACTCAAGGGTAACTGGACACCCCTCTCCAGAAGGAATCCCTGTATGACCTTTCACCAAGCACACGACACGGGTCAAAAGAACCCAATTCCTGCACAACAACTACTCAGGCAGAGGTGGTTCAAAGCCATTAAGGAGAAAGAATGGCCCCAGAACAAAAATAAAAGGGGGGGTACAAGATCCCCATTCCTCCTCTCAGCTTCCCCTCATACATGGGAGGGAATGGAGCAACAACAGTGGGAAGAGTCCTTGCTTTACAAGAGGCCAACCAGGGTTTGGTTCCCAGAACCCCATCCAGTCCCCCAAGCTTGCAAGGACGAGGATTGTCACTGAGCACAGAGCCTGGAGTAAGCCCTGAGCACTGCTGGATGTGGCCCAAACACAGAGAGAGAAAGAAAAGAAAAGAAAGAAAGGAAGGAAGGAAGGAAGGAAGGAGAAAAGAAAGGAGAAAGAGAGAAAGAAAGAAGAAAGAGGGGTGTGAGCTTGAGAGAGAGAGAGATTTCCACATTTGCCCAGGCTGGGGTCCAAGTGGGGAGCGGGGTGAGACTGCAGGTTCTACCTCCCTCCCCCCCCTCCCCAGGGCCTGCAGGCAACTGGATTAACCAGATGGACTTCAGCCTGGCCGGTTTCCAGTGCCCCGAGGGCGGGGACCGAGAACGGCCTCTAGACCCGGGACTGTGTGCCGGCCGCCCCCGCCCCCGAGGTCGCACAGCGGGGACGCGAGGGAGGGGCTCCCGGCAGACCCCTGCCCCCTCCCCCGGCGGTTTCGCCGGCCAGCCGTCCAGTGGGCGCGCCCTGCCGTCGGGGCCGGCCCCTGCAGCGGGAAGCGCCGGGGTCCCCGGGGACGGCGAAGGCCGGCAGCTGGGCGGCCAGGGTGTCCCCACGCGGGGCGCGACGGGGCAGTGTTCCCGGACGTCCCCCCGACGGCGGCTCACCCGCTGCCAGATACCGTCTGTCGACTCCGGTCTTGGCTTCGAGTGCGCTTAGAGCTTCGGTGACTATGTTCTTCTGTTCCAGAAACTTCTCGAAACGCTGTCGGATAACGTCCATGGTGCCGGCGGGTCCGGTGCTGGCCGCTCGAACTTGACCGCGGCCCTATGCACCGGCCCCGCCGCTCCCGCCGCCTGACTCGGCCGGAGCCACCCCGCTCCGCCCCCGGGACACTGTCCTCCTCCGGGGTGGTATCCGCCCCCGGCCCCTTGCTCCCGCCAATGGAAGGGCAGGGAGGGCAGGGCGGACAAAGGAGGTGGGGCTTGCCCCGTCTCCTCCCCTGCCGCATGGCCCTCTGGCCGGGGCCGCGGCCGCCACAGCCACCTCTCCGGTGGACCGGGGAGTGGGGCGTGGCGACCGCGGCCTCCGATTGGCTAAAGTTAATCAGGGGGCGGGTCCATGCCTGCAGGTTATTGGAGGAGCCGTCGTGGGGGCGGGGCCTTATGCGAGGGGGCGGGGCCGAAGAAAGGCCAGAGCCGATTGGACAATTGGTCCAGGGCTACAACGGTGAGAACAGAGGAGGGGGCAGGCTGATCATAAAGGAGGGCGGGCCAATCGGAAGAGCGAAAGAAAGGGACAAGGGGCGGGACTACACTGGGGAGGCGGGGCAGGCCTCATA